TGTTCAGATCTAAAGTTAAGCAAGACTATGTACAAATTTAATTTTTTATTAGTTATACCCTACACCACTATAGTGTAGGGTTTTATAAATCGACTTTCGAACAATCGACTTTTTGTCAAAAAAAATCGAAAAGTCGAAGTCGACTATTTTGTTACAAAAAAGTCGATATCTCGACTATCGTCTGTGAAAAAAATCGAAAAGTCGACTTTGTTAATAAAAGTCGAAAAAAGTCGAAAAGTCTGAAAGTCGAAAAAAGTCTAATAAAGTCGAAGAAAGTCGAAAAGTCGTAAAAAGACGGAAAAAGTCGAAAAGTCGGAAAAAGTCGAAAACTCGAAAATTGTAGAAAAAAAATTCAAAAATAGTCGAAAATTTTAAAAAAGTGGAAAAAAGTAAAAAACTCTAAAATAGTCGGAAAAACTCGAAAAAAGTAAAAAATAGTCGAAAGAAGTCAAAAATAGTCAAAAAGTCGAAAAAATCGAAAAGTCGGAAAAAGTCGAAAAAAGTCGACAAGTCGGAAAAAGTCGAAAAGTCGACTATTTATAAAATACTTATAGTCGAAAAGTCTAAAAGTCGACTTTTCGTTTCAACTATAGAACCCTACTATAGTGTATGCGTTTGTCATGAATCACTTGTATCTCAGAATCACTTTCCGAGTCGATTTAGCTATGTCCGTCCGTCCGTCCGTCTGTGTGTCCATGATAATTTAATGAAATTTGACACATACTCTTCTTTTGACCCAATTAGTCCATTATTTCGTATAACCCCCATAAAACCTTACCCTCCGAATAGGGCTTTTGAGCTCATAAATATGTGTTTAAATGTTCTTGTTTCACTTCAAAAATCGGCAAAACTTAGTTTTATATTAATCTTAATGATACACCTAATTTTTGGAATGATCGTGCCCCTTTTGACACTATTTCCCATACAAAGTCCCCTTCAGAAATTGTTAAATTGTTAAAATATTTCTGAATTAAGGTGAAAATGAAATTAAAATTAACATAACACGGGTGTAGGGTATTATATGGCCATGCCCGACTAAAAATTTTTACTTGTTTCTTCTACGATTTACAGTTTATAATGAAAATATTAAAATATATTTAATAACTTTAAAATAAATCGATCATGGTCCTTCGAACTTCGTTTGAAAGATTCAGATCAGCAGTCCCCTTAGTTGATCACAATGTGAAATATTTGAAACAAACTTAAGAAGCTTTTTGAAATCATCCCTTTTTTAATTAACTGTTTATCTTGAAAGAAAAATATTTAGATAAATTATGGTCCTTCGAACATGACCTAAAAGTTTGATTAAATTCTAAAACCAAGGTCCTAACTGATCTGCTGAAGTCACTAAATAGATTTATTGTTTAGAGAGAAAAGAACTCTATATGATCTCACATTTTGCAGTTTATTGTGAAAGTATATGATTGATTAAACCATCAATCAATAATGGTTCTTCTAAAGTCGTCTCAGATAAGTAATTATACCTCAAACTTTAATAGATTTTTTGGAAAATTTATTCTTTTCATTTTAAAGTTTATTGAGAGTAATTACTTCATTAGCTTCTTGTATTTACAAGTGTTATTTCTTGAGAGGAAATTATGTACCAATTAAGGATTAATTGAGGACATGAATCAAGTTTTTTTTTAGATGTTTTTATTTGCAAAGTTCTATTAATTATTTCCTGTTACTTCTTTTCCTTATTACGTATTTTTTTATTCTAAAGTGATAAAACAAAGTTTTTTTTCATTATGATTACAATCCAAGATAAATACTGCTGCATTGAAAGAATCCAACCTTCTTCAGCAGAATACATTGTTTATGATAGACCTTGTCACAATTTCTTTTTGTTTTCCATTATAATTGCTGGCTCTAGTCGTTTTGTTTTTTCTTTCTATATACATTATTGTAGTTGTAATAAAATAAAATATAATTTATTTTACATTAAAAATATTGTTTAAATGACATTGAGTCACGCAAATGAAGAAGCAAACAAAAAAATAACAACGTAAAAGAAAATTTTGCAAAAAAACAAGAAATTTAGATATAAAGAACCATTAGTCGCAGTTAATGTTAAAAAAAGAGAATCTATAGAGAAAAGAGCAAATATTTAAAGAGAACAAAGAGGCAAACAAATTTCAATTAGGGATATGCACGTACCAAAGAAAATCAAAATGGAAAAACCAAATGTTTTTAATTGTAATATTTGAACAGCTGTTAAGCGTACAGAAACACCTGTTCAAGCTGTGTTACAACGAAATTTACCCTAAAAATCTCACATTTTAAACCCATTATACTCTAATAGCCATTATTAGCTTTTAAACAAAAATTGTCACCATTTAAATAGAAAATCGAAATGAATTGCTTTTATTTACGTCATTTATACTCGTAGGTTCATGTCTATGTTCATGTCTATATTGCTTATATAGACGTTAAATTGAAAACTTACGTACGTGTCGAAAAATAACGGTCAATTACAAATTCTAAATGGGTTGGCTGTCGAAGTCGAGTGCGAATAGTTTTAAAAAGCAAGTACATATATAATTGAAATTCATTTATAGCAAATAAACGACAAAAATACTGATAGACATATTGAGAATATAAACAAATTTAAATAAAGTCTAGCGTGGAATTAACCCATTAAGAGAAAGAAACGTAGAGTTGAAACATTCGCAGTAGTTCATAGAACTCAATAGACTTATATATTGTTTCAAATTTTAATAACATTTTAAAGAATATTTTGATATTGAAGTGAAATTAAAAAAAAAAAGTTCAAAAAAAAGTTTGAAATAAATCGATTATGGTCCTTCGAACATCGTCCAAAAGATTAAGACAAAGTGTCGAAAATTTAGAATTTTGTGCGAACAAAGCTTTAATTTGAAAAAGGGCGCTTTAATTTGAAGTATATCGATTGGTCACCCATTCTAATGTTGAAAGTGTTTTACCGGTTTCAACTTTGTGCGCTTCAGAAGTTATGATTTTGACACAAAGCACAAAGATCGTTTAGGCCAGCTAATAGAGTGTGAAGAACCCAAAATAGGAGGCATTATCTCAATGAAGATTGTTGTCAAACTTAACAAGATTTGGCGAAATCAGTTGAAGATACTCAATCATAAATTTCAAAACTTTTGCGAGAGTGCAAAATTCATAAAAAAACGGGTAAAACCATAAGAATTAAAACCGATCGTATGTCCAAAATACAGCTTAAAGCTCTCAAAAGAATCGTTTTCCTCCAAATCATTAGTTTAGATGAAAAAATAGCCAATCGACACCAACGGCAAGGTAATGAATGATCTGTATTTGGTAGGAACAAAAGGGTAGTATATAAGTATTATAAACTGGTGAAATCTGGTCAGACCACGTACCGAATGCGATTTCGTATGTCCAGAATGTTAAAAAAATCGTTTTCCTCTAAATAAAGAACATTACAAAAGCCAAGGTAATGCTCTGTATTTGGTAGGACCAAAAAGGCACTATCTATTATGAACTGTTGAAATCTTGTCAGACAACACAACAGGGAACCCATACCGAATGCGACTATTTTGTTTAATGTAATAAGGTAATGATCTGTATTTGGTAGGACCAAAAAGGTACTATCTATTATAAACTGTTGAAATCTGGTCAGACCACAATGGAGAACCCATACCGAATGCGATTTCATATGTCCACTGCTTGTCTACTGTTTAAAGGCCCTAAAAGACTTGTTTTCCCACGAATCATTATTTGAGTTGAAAAATACCGAATCGATACCAAAGCCATGTATCAACTGTTGAAATCTGGTTATACCACAACAGGGAACCCCTACCGAATGCGAGTGATTCGTTTAAGGCAATAGTCCAACGCTCCGCTATTTAGAAAGGGTACTATTTATTATGAACAGCTGAAATCTGACCAGATCATAAAAGATGACCTATACTGAATGCGACTGATTCTTTTGAAGCGATAGTTCAACATAACAACGCACGTAACGTGTTAAAAACTATTAAGAAATAGGTGGCTGGCAAGTTTAGCCTCACCTGACTTATAGTCCAGAAATTACTCCATCTCTGATTCGATTTATGTAGAATTAAATAATTTACATCATATTGTATATTAATGTACATATTTTCGTTGGTATATCTCTCTCTTTCTGTGGTACGCTTCACTTCAGAACAGAGTATCGGAAATTGGCATAATTCGTTTTTGGACTCAAATGATGGGCTGTTCTTTAGGCACTGAATCCATATGTTTCCAGAAAAATAAGAAAAGGTCATAGGTAGCTTACTTCTAGAATGATCGCGCTATTTACTGAGATCAAAGGTACTTTAGGCATATTGCTCCCTGACTTGATTCACTTCTATTAAATACAACGTTAAGCATCATATATTTTAACACGTAGTAAAATATTTAATTGTATAGGGAAAGATTGAATCACTTCATTTTGTCTTAAAAAAATTACTCACTGCTTGCCTATAGTAAATAATTCTTAAAGGAAACGACTCAACAATTACTATTCCACACCGTGACAACAATGACTTACATAATAGGAGGGCTTGCTTAAAATTTGAAACGGTTGCATTACAAAACGAATTACAGTGTAACACCTCTTTTCAGGGATAGTTAGAACATTTTAGAAAAAGCACCGGAAGTTTACAGATGTTCAAAATGTTAGAAGTTTTAAAAATACTCAACATTTTGACAAAACCACTTAAGAAATATTTTAAAATAGAGTTACAAGACATATGTTATTAAATTCTAAAAATATTTCTTAATAAATATAATAAAAATATTATAAAAGTAATAAAAAATATTTTTATTACAAAAACTTCTGAATTGTCCTACTTTAATAACGTGCGACAAGTATGTTGGTAATAAAAATTAACAACAATTCTGTCAAGTTTTAAGAAGTGTGAATTTTTTTGTAACAATAAACATATAACACTTAAAAGACATTAATTTTATAAAATGACCCACAAAATGTTATTTGTTTAGTTTGTTTTGGTTAAAATATTTAGTTTAATTACCTGGTATAGAGGAAGTACGTGAAGTAGTAGCCGAAGAGTTGGAACTAGAAGACCATAAACATTCGGATAATTCCGTTTGTACAGCCACATCTAGTTTTAAAACCATATTTTTAACTTAATTTTAGGATTGTTTTTTTAAATATATTAATACAAAGTGTTACTTGTTTTGGTTTTAATTTTTATAATTTAACCACAATTAAAGCTAAAATTACAAAATTTTAATAAAAAAAATATATTTTAAATTTCAAAATATTTGTTTGAGTTGATGGATATAGTAGTATGTTTAAGGAGAACTTGTGGTTTTTATTTAAAGTGAATATTTTTTTCTCAAATTCCTAGTGACATGTGTTCTGTTATTTGAAACTTTGTAGGTTGTTGTTGTTGTGGCGAAACACCCTTAGATCCGTTTGTGAGCAAAGAAAGAGCATTTAACATGTTAACATGTCAGGCATGGAAAATTGAATACCTTAGTATTAGTCTAGTCTATAGTATAGTTATAGTATAGTCTATAGTTTAGTCTATAGTCTAGTCTATAGTGTAGTCTGTAGTCTAGTCTGTAGTCTAGTCTGTAATCTAGTCTATAGTCTAGTATATAGTCTAGTCTATAGTCTAGTCTAGTCTAGTCTATAGTCTAGTCTATAGTCTAGTCTATAGTCTAGTCTATAGTCTAGTCTATAGTCTAGTCTATAGTCTAGTCTATAGTCTAGTCTATAGTCTAGTCTATAGTCTAGTCTATAGTCTAGTCTATAGTCTAGTCTATAGTCTAGTCCATAACCTAGTCTATAGTCTAGTCTATAGTCTAGTCTATAGTCTACTCTATAGTCTAGTCTATAGTCTACTCTATAGTCTAGTCTATAGTCTAGTCTATAGTCTAGTCTATAGTCTAGTCTATAGTCTAGTCTATAGTATAGTCTAGTCTATAGTCTAGTCTATAGTCTAGTCTATAGTCTAGTCTATAGTCTAGTCTACAGTCTAGTCTATAGTCTAGTCTATAGTCTAGTCCATAACCTAGTCTATAGTCTAGTCTATAGTCTAGTCTATAGTCTAGTCTAGTCTACAGTCTAGTCTATAGTCTAGTCTATAGTCTAGTATATAGTCTAGTCTATAGTCTAGTCTATAGTCTAGTCTATAGTCTAGTCTATAGTCTAGTCAATAGTCTAGTCTATAGTCTAGTCTATAGTCTGGTCTATAGTCTAGTCTATAGTCTAGTCTATAGTCTAGTCTATAGTCTAGTCTATAGTCTAGTCAATAGTCTAGTCTATAGTCTAGTCTATAGTCTAGTCTATAGTCTAGTCTATAGTCTAGTCTATAGTCTAGTCTATAGTCTAGTCTATAGTCTAGTCTATAGTCTAGTCTATAGTCTAGTCCAGTCTACAGTCTACTCTATAGTCTAGCCTATATTCTAGTCTATAGTCTGGACTATAGTCTAGTCTATAGTCTAGTCTATAGTCTAGTCTATAGTCTAGTCTATAGTCTGGACTATAGTCTAGTCTATAGTCTAGTCTATAGTCTAGTCTATAGTCTAGTCTATAGTCTAGTCTATAGTCTAGTCTATAGTCTAGTCTATAGTCTAGTCTAGTCTATAGTCTGGACTATAGTCTAGTCTATAGTCTGGACTATAGTCTAGTCTATAGTCTAGTCTATAGTCTAGTCTATAGTATAGTCTATAGTATAGTCTATAGTCTAGTCTATAGTCTAGTCTATAGTCTAGTCTATAGTCTAGTCTATAGTCTAGTCTATAGTCTAGTCTATAGTCTAGTCTATAGTCTAGTCTATAGTCTAGTCTATAGTCTAGTCTATAGTCTAGTCTATAGTCTAGTCTATAGTCTAGTCTATAGTCTAGTCTATAGTCTAGTCTATAGTCTAGTCTATAGTCTAGTCTATAGTCTAGTCTATAGTCTAGTCTATAGTCTAGTCTATAGTCTAGTCTATAGTCTAGTCTATAGTCTAGTCTATAGTCTAGTCTATAGTCTAGTCTATAGTCTAGTCTATAGTCTAGTCTATAGTCTAGTCTATAGTCTAGTCTATAGTCTAGTCTATTGTCTAGTCTATAGTCTAGTCTATAGTCCAGTCTATAGTCTAGTCTATAGTCTAGTCTATAGTCTAGTCTATAGTCTAGTCTATTAGTCTAGTCTATAGTCTAGTCTATAGTCTAGTCTATAGTCTAGTCTATAGTCTAGTCTATAGTCTAGTCTATAGTCTAGTCTATAGTCTAGTCTATAGTCTAGTCTATAGTCTAGTCTATAGTCTAGTCTATAGTCTAGTCTATAGTTAGTCTATAGTCTAGTCTATAGTCTAGTCTATAGTCTAGTCTATAGTCTAGTCTATAGTCTAGTCTATAGTCTAGTCTATAGTCTAGTCTATAGTCTAGTCTATAGTCTAGTCTATAGTCTAGTCTATAGTCTAGTCTATAGTCTAGTCTATAGTTAGTCTATAGTCTAGTCTATAGTCTAGTCTATAGTCTAGTCTATAGTCTAGTCTATAGTCTAGTCTATAGTCTAGTCTATAGTCTAGTCTATAGTCTAGTCTATAGTCTAGTCTATAGTCTAGTCTATAGTCTAGTCTATAGTCTAGTCTATAGTCTAGTCTATAGTCTAGTCTATAGTCTAGTCTATAGTCTAGTCTATAGTCTAGTCTATAGTCTAGTCTATTAGTCTAGTCTAGTCTAGTCTATAGTCTAGGTTATTGTCTAGTCTATAATCTAGTCTGTAGTCTAGTCTATAGTCTAGTCTATAATCTAGTCTATAATCTAGTCTATAGTCTAGTCTATAGTCAAGTCTATAGTCTAGTCTATAGTCTAGTCTATAGTCTAGTCTTTAGTCTAATCTATAGTCTAGTCTATAGTCTAGTCTATAGTCTAGTCTATAGCCTAGTCTATATTCTAGTCTATAGTCTAGTCTATAGTCTAGTCTATAGCCTAGTCTATATTCTAGTCTATAGTCTAGTCTATAATCTAGTGTATAATCTAGTGTATAATCTAGTCTATAGTCTAGTCTATAGTCTAGTCTTTAGTCTAGTCTTTAGTATAGTGTAGTCTTAGGTACTATTTCAAAATTTAAATTTTCCGTGCCTGGTTAATGTTGTTGTTTGCTGTTAGAGAATTGAGTTCAAGTTTATGTAGAACATTGACCCATATTTTGTTGTTGGTGGTTGTTCTTCTCTAAATTCTTATGAAAAACAGCACACTTAAGTATTTAACATTCACTTTTATTTGAAATTTTTATTTTTAAGTATTTTTACAAGTATTTTCTTTAAGAGCAGCACTTTTAAATAATTTATTTTAAATGATTTTTTTAACAATTTAATTGTTGTTTATTTCGAGGTAGTGGCAAAATTGGCTTGTTTGAGATGTTGCTTTTCTTTTCTTTGTATTTTTGTTTAAATATATTTTTATGTTAATTACTTTTTTGTTTTAAATTACACATGATTTTTTAAGACTTTTTCTTTACTTTTTCTGATTTGTTTACATTTGTGCAAGAGCTGATGCTGCTGCGGTCGCTGCAATACAGCAGCAGATAGGTATTTTTTTTATTTATAACAATTGATAAACATATTTGTTTTAAAAAAAATTTCGTAAAAACAAAAGAATTTCTTTAAATCATAAACACACTTTACTATTCTTCTGCTGCAGAAAGAAATAAACAAAACACGCATTTCATCACTAATAAGCTCGTTAAAGGTAAAATATTTCTCTTTTCAAAACACTTTTTTAAAGCTCTCACTCTCTTATACTTGTTGTTATGCTCTCTTTTAAAAAGCATCATCCCTTACAAAACATTAATTTTCCTTTTAAACATTTTCTTTAACATTGTTTTTTCTTCCCTAAAAATATTTTTTAAATTTATCACAGTGTTGTTGTTTAGGAATTTTGTTTAAATTTCTTTAAAAATTACTAACATTTCGTCATTATTATGACCGTTACATTATTTTAAAAATCTAGTAATCTACACTTTGTAATACACATGTTTTTTTTCTGTTTTTCTATTGAGGTTTCGTGTTTTTTTTTATTTTGTAGTTGTTTTCTGTTTTAATTGATTTAAATTCTTTAGGAACAACCGTTTAGTTTGCGTGTTGTTTTATTACTGACTGACGACTGTTCACAGTTTGGTTTTTGTTGTTGCTACAAATTCAAAATACAAATTCGGTTCATTGTGTGCTTTTAAGCTAGACGAGTCAGTGTTTCTTAAATGGTTGGGGGTCAAGTATGATAATGGAAGGTTTTCAAAACGTTAAGTTAATCAAGTTTAACAATTGCCTTATGATCTAATATCTCACAATAAGTGTTCTCAGCAAATTAAAAAAAAGTACTTTTCTGTGATTAAAAAGTACTTAATTATTTGCAACTTAAAAAAATAACCTTATAAAGAATCTGAGAATCAAACTTAGTTTGAAAGGAAAGTATGTTATATCAGATCCGAAGAAATATACATATCTTGGCTACTATGGGACCAGCTTCTCGGAATGTCTTGTTGGAATCAAATGTGAGAAGGACGTGGGCTTCTCACAAATAAACTAGTAAAGGTACTGATACATTTAAATAAACGATCCATCTTCATTTGGTCCATTAGATAATTTTCATTTTTGGATGCATATATTTCGAGTGAAAGACTTGTGAGTTTGTATATCAAAAATCGATGGAATTATTTATAGAATACGCTGGTGCGAGTGAACACGCTGGACTCTTGAAATATGTATAATGTGTTTAACCTCACGTCCGTCCAGAAAATTTACAAAAGCGAAAAAGACGTTGTCACTTTAAAACGTGAACTTTGGTAAAAAACTAAAAATTTGCTAACGATCTTGTATCTCTCCATGACTTAATTTCTAACTGTGAACGAATTGAGGTGCCAAATTCGATCCTATTCCAAAAGTGACAAAAACAGAACGCGTCAGATTTAATATTCCCATAAACTACCAAGAGCATTCTTAGTAGTTCAGATGTTCTTGATAATAGCGACTTTCAATCGTTAGAATCATTTAAAACACTCAAAACATTCGCGATTTTATCACAAATTCTAGAAAAGTTAAAAAAAAGCTATAAACTTTAAACTAATGTTATGGAATGATGCTTTCTTAAGTAAAAACAAGGTTAATGAAACAAACACAAATTTTTCTCATTTCAAAATATTCGCGAATATTTCACAAATTCTAGAAAAGTTAAAAAATGCTACAAACTTTAATCCGATGTTCTAGAATGAAGCA